TCTGTGTCACAATTGTGTGGAGAGAGCTTGATTGGATAAGATTGCATTGCAGTGGGTAAAATGGAGGTTAAAACAAAATATTGTGTCCTCTTGTTATTTAAGAAACACACTTCGTGTTCTCTGTGGAATGGGTATATTTTCATATGTTTTGTCTTTGGATTTGCTATAATGGCATATCGCTCCTCGGTACCCTTTGATGCAATTCTATTCTTACTGTGTTTTCAGATTTAAATTAACCTTCATTTATTATTCAGCTGCACAAAGCATGCGTATTTCGGTATGCAGAAATGCAATCCGCCGATTGACTGCTCCCTCCCTGGGAGGTGGGAGGCATTAATTCCCGAGAGGGAGACTCCTGCATCAAGTTTAGACAGTTTTCAATCAGTGGGGAGCTCTCCTTCAATGTCAGCTTAAGAAATATGTTAATAACTTGTTCTTCAGCTGAAGCCCTGTGCTAAATGAAGCTGGGTACGAAACTGCCATCCTTAAAAGCGGCAAGTTCATCGGCAAGCCGATGAACAAGTTACTCGGGAAGGCAGGCACGGAGAAGAGCACTAAAACAATTCCTCCAAAAAGCCCTTGCCTGTGGTGAGACAAAACAGATGCTTCCTAAGAGAAGGCAACTCAAGGGAACCTGTCTAAAAATAATTACGCCTAGCCTGTAACACTGTAGTTCTGATATGGCAAGATTTACGCCAAATAAGTGGTGAGATAAGGATCCTCTTTCAGGAAAGCAATTTTAGCACATCTTAAATGCCCAACTAAACCGAGTGTGTCGCTGAATCAGAATGACTGCTCTTCTGGGAAAGGTCAACATCTCCCACCCCTCCTTTCCCTAATCCCTATTAAATACCTGGCCATATGTCACTGCCTTTGTTGCCAAAAATCACTGCTGCCTGTGGTAAAGATCAAGAGCATGATCTACATATATTTCTAAAATCATAAAGGTGACTTTAGTCCTAAGCTTGAATTTCCTTCTCCAAACAGATAGGTGTCCCCTTCACTTCCAGTGAGGTTGTATCAGGCACATTATGAACAAGAGGGTCCTCTGAGTGCTGCAGCATTTGCTTTTAAGATGAAAATCTTAAAAATCAGTTACCTGTCTTTACGAGTGTAATAGCTGATCATGTGGAAGAGCAAAGTTTGCTGGCACAAGAAAGACCACAAACCTGTTCCTGACAGCAGACATGGGAATTGTCACAGCTCATTTCTGTGATACTGTATCACAGGATATGCTTTGCCACTTGACTTTGCCTTGGCCCTTCCCCATCTCTGTTTCATATTACTTTTGGCTATGCCCCATGAAGTGCTCAGACGACCCACTGCGATAGCTGTAGTTTGCTATCCTAATTCATACCACATGTTAGTTTACTTACCACCGGTTATTAATCTTTTCTGTACTGTTTTCAGCATTTTCCATGGTGTCTGATGATGCCTTGAGAGTTCCAAAGCTTGATGGTGAGTCTTCAAGCCTCAGATACTTTTGACGTTAGGGTCTGAGGTAAATGCCCCATTCCCAAATAAAATGGAAGAAACTGGTATACATATGAACATTAATCTATTGGGCTAAATGACTTTGATTCTTCAGGTGCTCATTGCAAACTCGTGATGCTGTCTTCAAGATTGATTTTTGTTATCTCTCCCGTCTCATCCTGGAAGATCTCTCATAATTTTGAGGCTAGAAGATGTGATTGTGCCTAGCGAGCCTGTTCTCACAGCAGCACAATTTCCAGTGATTGCTGTGCGAGTCCAGTAACGTGAGGTTAATCTGAAATATTCCCACTGAGAAGATACTGAGCCTTGATTTAAAGTCTGCAGATAACAGAGCTGTTAGCACAGGTCTAGGTACAGTGTTAGTACCAATCCTTACTGAAATGGTACGTGCAGCAGTGCCGCGCATGCCCTTTCTCATGAATTGCTCATTTTTGCCAGTGCCAGGTACTTTCTTTTCTCACTTTTCTCCTTCTTCCCACTGTTCATTCTAACTGGAGATACAAAATCGTGGTGTTAAGGGCATTACTCTGTAAAAGTGCAGATTTTTTTTTTTAAAAAAAAAACAAAAGGCTATGGCTGTGTACAGCCCCTGTTCTTGTCATCACTTTGTGTCACCTTAGCCCCTTGTTTGAAGCAGCCAGTAATTGAACATCAAATCTTGCCCCTGCTGTCCATAAGCAGCTGTTGCAGGTCATGGCTAGCAGATCCATGTTCATTTGCATGTTATTTTCCCTTCCACAGCCATGAGAATTTACCAAATACTCTCTCTTTTCAGGCAAGAGAATGGGGTGAGGAACATATGCTGCAGACCTGCCATGGAGAATCCTCCACACAATTTCCATTAGCTTCTATAACCAAAATATTGGCATCATGGAAGTGCAAACACATCCTGAATAGAGGGAAGTGGGCAAGGTGTGTGGGGGGAGGAAGCTAGTGGTGGGGGAAGTCTTTGCAAAGTCAAATTTCTCTTACAAGAGTTCGGCTGTCAAAGCACTGTAAAGTTTGGGAGGGAGTTTGGTTTTCCTCAACATATAAACCCTGGATAAATTTCTCAAAATGCTGAGTATTTCCTCCTCTCACTTCTCCTGGGCCAGGACAGATGTCTAAACACCTATTTCAGTATTAGATGTGCAGCTTTCACAAACTAACATCAGACATATTGACATTATTTATTTTTCGGATCAGTCTCGGAGATGCTCGAGTCCATCCATTTCAGCCCGACAGCAGGAGCGGTATCTCTGAAGCTGGTTGCAGTTCAACCATTTGTTACTGCAAAACCCACTCTTTCTTCTGCATCCCAGCTGCCACCGCCGTAACTTGGGGTTTGCTGGGCATTTGGATATCACATTAGAGAGAGGCACAGGAATGGAATGGGAATGGCAAGGAGCGATGGTCTTCAGCGCTGGCACAAGGGAAGGATCGGAAGGAGCTTCAGTTGTTTCGCTGAGCTGTCAGTGACACCTACAGACAAAACGCTCGCTGGAACACACAGGAACAGGCAGATGGGACACAGACAGTCCAACCCTGCTTTAGGGTCTGTGCAGCCCCAGGAAGGCCCCTGTGCACAGGGGACAGCCCAAAATCCCTTCCCTCGGCCATCCCTCTTGCCTAGCAGTTGAGCCCAGGAGTTACTAGCACAGGAAAGGGATTTTCCCTTTGGATTTTTGCTTTTTCCTTGGATGCCCATCAGCACAATTTGGGCAGGTGAAAATGCAGCAAACATTAGTTTAGCAACCTGCGTTTGTGCTGCTTTTCATCTGAGAAAAGCTAAATGCTTAAAATAACTTGTATTAATTAGCTAGGCCTCATAACACCTACTGTGGCCACAATACGAATTATTCTGTTCTGTTAGAAGTGAGACTAAAGTACAAATGAATTAAACTTGCCCGAGGTAACGCAGTCGAGTCCCTGAGGACTTGAGCTGACGCCTATTGAAGTTGGTGATGAAATCTTTTCTGCTACCTTCTGTGGACTTCTGATAAGGTCTTTGAAAATGTAGGAATAGCTTCACATTCCCTGAATTTCAGTGAATAGTTTTGCCTGGTGCATATGTTTTTTTACCCCTATATTTTTATTGTTTTAGCAGGAAATTTAGCAGTCAGCCAATAGTCCCTGGCTGAAGTAGTTGAGATTTTGGTTTCACATCCTAGAGAATGAATAATGCCCGTAGTATTTTACTGTGACAGCTATGTGAAATGGACTTTTGGAATAAGCAAAAATATCTATCTGTTTATGATTTTCAGACTTTTGGACTCATTGTTAAGCAATATTTTGTCTCCTTTTCATTTCCTCTGAGACCCTGTAGAAAAAAATAACTGCATTTTTGTCAACAGAAGTGAAAGACAAATGTTAACTTGAGAGGCAAAGGGAATTCATGGCCCAGGATGGGGAGCTGAAGTCTGCACACTGTGTCATGGCTCATCTTTCTGTGCCACCGTCGTGTTCATACCAGTATGAAAAACAGGCAATTAAAGCAGTGGTAATGGGACCACGTGAGCTCCAGCCCTGGATACGGGCTTAGTTTGGGAGCCCAGGGGAGAGCTGGTACATCCTCCTGCTCCAATTTTATAGCAGATGAACTTTTCAACTGCCTCAGCCTTTGGGACCTGCTTTGCTTTGTGTAGATACTGTGTTTTGGGCAGTAACTTCTCTGATCTTCCACCAGCTTTACCCTCTCAAACTCTTGCTCAGTGGTGGTTCACCAGGTCCTCTCATGTAAGAGCACCACAGTACCTGGTTAGTGGTTGACAAACTATGGCTTTGGTTGACATCATTTATTTATGCTTATTGCTTGTGTGGGCCCTCCTCATCTAACAGAAAAGCACCCAGGTTTTATTTAAAAGATGTAAAAACATCCATTGGGTGAAAGCAGAAACCAGTGTACTAAGCAGACAGAATTTTCAGTAAATTAAAAGCAATCTTACCATCAAGTTTGCTCTTTTACTATCCAGGCACGAGCAGATACCACACATGCCTTTCATGCACCCACCTTCGTCAGTTTGAGGTATTTTAGATTGTGAGTTTTTTTCTCAGGGCAGCATTTAATTCAGGGATAACAAAAGATTTTTTGATAACCCTGAGTTTTGGATCAAGTATGACTGCAAAGCAAATCCCAAGGGGGAAGAGATGGCAATAAACTCTTGTCTCTAGGCTCTCCCAAAGATGTTAACCCAGCCTTTCGGATCTGATTGATTCTTTTTTAGCCTTTTCTTTCTTCCCTGCTCATCTGGATGCTGACTAGAAGAGGATGGTGGAAGATGTGCCAAAGGTGTTCGATCTGAGAGATATCTGAGTAAAATGAAAGATGCGATAATTCAGCTGTTGTGATAAGCATCTTCCTAACTCTGAGTGCTCATCTTAGCCAAACCTTTCACATTTTTAACATTTTGATAGCAATGCTGCATTTGTGGTGGATTGCTGGTGGCTATTTTCAGCTCTCAGATATCTTTCTGTCCTCAAAAAGACAGAATTTGTTCTTATTTCTTCTTAATTTTTTCTGTCTGCAGATCCAACGCGGGTTATGGTGTCACCTTTCAGCATGGATGTCACTGTTGGCGAAAGTATTGTCTTGCCTTGCCAGGTATCTCACGACCACTCGCTAGATATTTTGTTTACCTGGTCATTTAATGGACACCTGATAGACTTTGAAAAAGATGGGGATCACTTTGAAAGAGTCGGAGGGGTAAGTATCAATGCTAAAGCAATGTCCCCAGAGCGTTCCCCTTTTGTACTGCGAGTCACAGCCAGGGCTGTAAGTAGCAGGAAAGAGGCTATTAAGAGAAGGGATTTGGCTGACTTAGCAGGAGACTCCTTAGCGGTAGACTCTGTAGTTAAAGCTGATGTGGAAACGTTGTCGTTGGTTAGTGACCTTCCTTGAAAGCTGCTCCCATGATGGCCGTTTGCTAACGCTGCAGAGCTCCAAGGCAGACGACCTGCGGTGCCGATCTGATTTGCCCTGCTTTTACCTGCATTGCAAATCCTTTCAACTGTTTTAGTAGTTGTAGATGTTTTGGAAGTTGCTGTGGCATAAGTTTTGAGCAATAAATAGAAGGGAAGGAATCAAACTTCCAGCGGCAAGAGGAGACGGAGCAGCTTCGCAGGTCGCTCTGCGGACTGTTCTGCACAGCCACATGCCCTGATAGGGTTCAGGCAGACTCCTGGTCTATGTTTACTTGTCAGGAGGGAAATTTAATGTTGAGAGGAAAGGAATTTAGAAGCCTTGCTGGTATCTCTGATATCATTAAAAGGTGCACTTAAGGATTTCTGCCCAGGACGCACCCCAGAAGCGGCGGCTGCGCCCAGCGACTCTGCTCAGTTGGTCGTCAAAGATCAAGTTTACACACTTTATTAATATTCCTCAGCCAGAAAGCCACAGTTGCAAGGTTACCCTGAGATGCCTGCTGCATCGAATGCTTTGTGTCTGGAGAAAAAATTCAGAAGAGTTGAGCTTCCTATACATGCGGAAGCATAATTAGTTCTATTCAACAGTTAATCAGACATGCATTTGGCGTTTGGAAAACAAATTACCGCTGTTAGGTGATGCAAGATTTCCTTAGAGAGTGCTGTTCTCATGATCTTTAGCACAAAACCGCCGGGCAATCAAAATGCTGGCTGTAATACAAGGCTGCAAAGCTTTTGCAGATGTCTCATAATTTGGACTGCTTTTCCCTTGCAAAGTGGATGGAGGCAGAACTTAGACACCTGAATACCAATATCCAGAGAGAGAAGGGAGGAACTGGGGCAAACCTGCCTTAAGTGAGCTTGGTTGCATTGATTTTAATGGGGAAACTGCTTAACTGACCCAAACCCATCTTCCCCTTCCCTTGCAGAAGCCATAATTTTAGAAATGCAACTGCTCTTATCTTCGAGGCAGACTCACATAATTTTAATAGGCCATGGCTTGCATTACTAATGTTTTCATCAGCCAGTGTAAAATAAATCCATTAGTCACAGTGTCCTTCATGTGATAATGATGTTTAGCACTCATTAAAAAGTAATTGTAACCACTTTTCCCTACTTTATCAGCAGGATTCAGCTGGTGATTTGATGATCAGAAGCATCCAGCTGAAGCATGCCGGGACATACGTCTGCATGGTGCAAACGAGTGTGGACAAGCTATCAGCTGCTGCAGACCTCATTGTAAGAGGTATTTGAATTTTGTCACCATTGTCATAAAATTGCTTTCTTCCTATCTTCTATGGCTGGTAAGGCAACGCCTGGTCTCAGAGATACTCATTAGAATCCCAGCATCTTGCAATTAATCTAAGAAATGAGCTCTAAGTACGTGCCGTGGTTCATGGCACGTTTTCAAGCAGTGCATGTAAAGTGTCTGTCAGATATGCACGCTCCGCAGCAGACGCACAGCACGGGTACTGGTGCATGTTCATGTCTCCAGGGCCAAACCTGCACGGGCTGAGAGCTTCCTGCATCGCAGCACGGCAGGGTAGCGCCCGCGAGCTCCCTGCCTCGCTCCCTCGCAGCACTGCTCCTTTTACAGAACAAACAGGAATTAGGGACGTCACTCGTGTTTCAAGATCAAAGCTTTACTGTACATAGGTTGATCAGCAAGTGTGGCATTAGCTGAGATGCAATTAATTAACCACATCCTGAGTCCTTTAATAAACATACATGGAGCAGAGCCTGGCCACGGTCCCTGCCATGGGCCGGGGAGCCACTTTGCGTTGCCCGGTGTTGCCCGCGCTCCCCGTTGCATCAATTCCTGTGGTTTTGCCGCAGCCTTGTTTCAGATGCAATAATTTGTTTTTTTGCCTAAACATTTCAAAACAGCCTGCTGATGAGGACGTTGCTTAATAACTTCCTTAGCAGCAGTTTGGTAAACAGGCAGGAGGAACAGTCAATTCTCACATGAGACTGACTGTTAGTGACAGCAGAACTACTGATCTTGTCACTGCCCAGAGCAGCAGCAGGGACGTTAGCCGTGGTCCCCGCAGCTCCCTTCCTTCCTGAGGCTGACAGCTGGGCTGCATCTTGTCACCAGCTGTATAAAAAGGAGGAAATATCAGTGATACCTGTAAGAAAACGGCCTGAGGTGAGCTGTGATGGCAGAGAGGGAGATGGAAAGCAGCTGCCTAAAGAGAACTTTCATAATCAGTTTTAAAAGTTTTTTTTTTCTTTAATTTGACTTATGTCAAAGTAAGAACATATTAGATACTATGTGTCTTGGACAAAAATCAATTATTTACATGATGTCAGGGAATATCAAAAAGAACATAGAGAAGTAGTTGCCTCTGGCACCACTTGGGGAAAAGCTAGGTGCTTGGTCACATTTGTCATGGCATGTTAATGTGTCAGTCACATGTCTGCTAGCAGCCCCAAAATACTTGGGAAACTGGTGACTGAACTTGATTTTTTTGCTCTACAGTAGGTCTCACACTCGTAATCTCACCCAGTGGCATGGAGGCACAGACAATAATTCTTCTCTATCTCATGTAATAATTGCATGAAGGTGCCAGAGAGTCTTTCCCTTTGGTTGATTTTTAGGATAGTGTCTGCATGAATTGTCTCTGGAGTCCATGCAGCAATATTTCCTTGCACTCTGCTAACAAGGATATTTTGAAATGCCGGGAATAACCATAGTTATTCCAGAATATGAAAGTGACAGTTCATTTCCACTGCTGCCAAGCAATGTGAGTAATTTGTGAAGGATACAGTGGAATTTCATTGCTCAAGTGTAACACTCTCATCTAATGTGGGATGAGGAATCGAACAAGCTAACTGTATAAGGTTGCATTATGTGAATATTCTCTCATTGCCCCAGCAAAACTACTTAAAATTTTAACATCTTGGAAATTAAATCTGGCTAGACCTGCTGAAACTTTCTTTTGAAGACTGGATATTGAAAGGTTTCAGGGTATTTTAAGCATTTAAATATGTCTGCTCTCTGAATACCAGCATGTGAGACTTATGTTACTGCAAAGGTGCAAGAACAAATTCTAAGTGTAGAACCTATTGTGCAACTGTCCTTCTGGGGAGATTTCTCCTCAAGTACCAGTCCTGATGGCAATGGTTGTGTGATATGCGAGGGAGGTCATCACCCAGACAGATACGTCACGCAGCGCCTTTCTGGTCAGCAGGACCTGAGCAATGAAGCAGAAGATGCCAGCACATGAGCCACGCACTTGTGAGACGAGCAGTGGGGCTGGACACTGCTGTGCTTCAAAGCTCTGAGCATCGCTCTCCTGTAATTCCTCTGCCAGGTCCCCCGGGCCCACCTGAAGCTGTGACCATCGATGAAATCACTGACACCACAGCGCAGCTGTCCTGGAGGCCGGGTGCAGACAACCACAGCCCCATCACCATGTACGTCGTGCAGGCAAGGACCCCCTTCTCCGTGGGATGGCAAGCAGTGAGCACAGGTAAATGCAGCAAAATCCCCAGCAGAAGCTGACCTGGCCTCCACTCATCACTGAAGATAAACAAATCCATCAGGACCTACCTGTGTGGGCTGAGCAAAACTGGCTCTGCACCCAGGTGCTGAAAAGTAACTTCATTGACTGCAGAGCACTGGTCTCTTTAACTAGCTTCAGGTTTGGCAACCTGAAGATTTAGGGTCCAGTCAGCACTGTTACTCATTCATTTTCTCATGAATGTTTAAGGGAAAACGGAATGAATTCCTATCTTTTGTTGCTATGGTGGAGATATACAGCAGTAATTGTGGTCTATAAAGACATCCCTCAGGGACAGGCCATGTCATCTGACCTGTCTTTAACTAGAATTATTTTCTTGATAGAGGGAAAAATCCCATGATGTAATTGCTCCTTCTGTCATAGGTTAATTTGGTTCCAGGACCCATTAAATAAGGGATAAACACATTTAAAAATAACAGTAGAAATAACAAACACTGGAGCCTGTCGTCTTGGCATTTTGTTTTAAAAGGGTGGCAATTTAGGAGGAATTTTTTAATAGCAGGGATCTCTGTCCTGATATCACCATGTTTCAGTGCCACATATTTTACTTTTTTGGCTGTTAACAAAGCAGTAAAAAGGAGAAAGGTTTGTTGGTCCTTATTCAGTTCTTTACGCTAATTCCTCCTTTCTAAGGGTATGAGATATGTGATGTTTAATCTGTTAGGAGGTTTTAATTGCCCTCCTGTCTCTTAGTTCCAGAGATCATCGATGGGCGGACATTCACAGCAACAGTAGTGGGTTTGAACCCTTGGGTTGAGTATGAATTTCGAGTAGTGGCTGCCAATCTTATTGGGATCGGAGAACCAAGCAGACCATCAGAGAAAAGAAGAACTGAAGAAGCTCGTAAGTGGTGGTGGGAAATGGTCAAATCTTGGCCAAAAGGTTCGTCCCCATTAAAGAATGTTTTCCATGGGAGAAAGTTGAGATTTCCATATTTTTCTCCCTTGTGACATGTTATTTGTATGCATGGTTCATACGCATGAGATGGAATATGATGTAGGGTTTGTGGACCTCTCATCAGCTCTCTTGACTCCACTACTTCTTGGCAATTATAGGAAGAATCAGAAAACCATCACTTTCTGTGTGGGAAAAGATACTTGGGCAGGTCTTTGGAGGTGCCATCCAGTACCCACTGCTCAGAGATGGGAACTGTGCGAATCAGTGCAAGGCACAAACTCAGTGTGGTTGGCCTGGGAATATGAGCCTTGGTTAGGGGGAAACCCTCGCAGGGGGCTTCTCTGTGCCATGTTAGCCCATAGCGGAACAGAATATCAAAGAGGAAAATGAACGAGCCCTTTTTATGAAAGATAAATGTTTAAACTAAACAATTAGTGACTGAATACACAAGTTAATTGACATAGTTTTAGTATACTATTATTGACATACTTTTAATATTCTATTTGCCATGGCAAATTAGTCATTTGCTAATAACAGTTTTGGTACCCGGAAGGAGAAGGTGAGAAAAATCCTGCTGGTATGTAGGATCTGTGACATTTCAACACTCTTCTGATTTCAAAATCAAAATTTTCAATGCTTATGTACTGTTCTGCATCTTTTTTTTTTCTTTTTTTTTTTCTTTTACAGTTCCTCAAGTCACCCCAGCTAACGTCAGCGGAGGTGGAGGGAGCAAGTCCGAGCTGGTCATTACCTGGGAGGTAAGTGGCATCCTAACCAAGGAGAAAATGAGGAGGGTCATGGTCGAGAGGCAGCTGTTCACCCAGTGGCACCCACCACTCACAGACCTCAGTGCAGCTTATGCAGATTTCAAACTGCTGTGGCATGATAAAATAGCCCTGTTGTTAAAATTCAGCTAAAATCATGACGGTGAAAACCCCCAGGAAGAGATACAAGTAGGAAAATGTTTAATATTCCTTGGGGCTGTCAGGGTTAGAACTATAGTCGTTTGTCTGCTCGCATTTCCATGTTATGATGCGGTGAAGCTGGCATGTCTTGCGAAATAATGAACTTAACTAGACATGCTAACACTTCCACTGAGCACGACTGTTGACCAAGCTGACAGAATGAATCATCAGAGATATTTTTAAGGTTATTAAAAAACTATAAATGGCTTTTTATCCTTACCACACAGCCCAATGTGCTAAATTTCCTTCTCCCTTGGACTAATTAGTTCCACTGCATCTCTTAAAGACGTTCTAGTGTGTTTCAAAAACACATATGAGAAGAACATGAGCCGTGACTTTGAATTATAATTTGCAGAAAATATAATTTATACTGCAGTAAAATAAGCAGATTCTGCTCTTAAATGGCCTGGGGCTCAAAGCATCTTCTTGGGGACTTCACATAAGAATCCAAAGATGTGGGAGCAATGTTTGGAAAGCAGGAGCTCTGTGCTGAATCTGCCCCCCAGACTTCAGTCTTTTTGTCATTGAAGTACCCCAAAACAGCCGTGCTGCTGTTGTAGACTCCCTTGCTGATGAGGAAATTGGGCACGCTCAGAAAGCGCATCCAATCTCGTGGAGCCACGTGCTTACGGAGATCCGGGAGAGCGGCCGTGGGGAGCGCGCGTGGCTCACGGGGCTGCTCTGTGCTCTGCGCCTGCAGACGGTGCCCGAGGAGCTGCAGAACGGCGGCGGCTTCGGCTACGTCGTGGCCTTCCGTCCCTTGGGCACGGTGAGCTGGATGCAGACCGTGGTGGCCTCCGCCGACGCCTCGCGATACGTGTTCCGCAACGAGAGCCTGCCGCCCTTCTCGCCCTACGAGGTGAAGGTCGGGGTGTACAACAACAAGGGCGAGGGCTCCTTCAGCCCCGTCACCGTCGTCTACTCGGCCGAGGAAGGTACGGCCTTCCGGAGCGTGCCAGGTGCTAACCGCAGCGGAAGGGGTTCGATGGCCGCGCCGACATCTCCTCTGATACCTAATCCTTGCTCTGATTTATAATAAATGGCAAGCCGTGATTAATTCTTTTGATAGTCATTAAAATAACATTAATCATAATGAAATCTTTTGATATTAATGGAGAACTAATATGTAATCTCAAAAGAATTCAACTGAGATTTGGTGTGAATTAATGTCCGCTGATGAGAGAACATTCCCTCTTGTCCTAATTGTGGCACGTGGTGTTCCAGGCTGAGGTTAGCAATGACATCTGGTCATTGTTAGCAGAGGAGACGGGCAGTGCAGCCTGGGGCTGGCAGGACATCGCTACGAAAAGGCAAAGTTAGTTTGGGTTGCTTGCCTCTTTCCTCTAGTAAGAAGAAAAACCCTTGAAGTTTGTGACTAACTGAACGTAAGATCGAAAGCTCAAATTTTGTTGTTAACCCCTCTCTTCAGAACCAACCAGAGCTCCCGGCAGTGTTTTGGCCAGAAGCCTGTCTGCTTCAGACGTCGAAATTTCTTGGACTTCTCCTCGAGACAATCCACATAAAGGAAGGATACAGGGATATGAGGTAAGAAAATAAATGTGGCCTTGCTCCTGTTGAGGGACAAGGCCACATCCTGTGTTGCTGAGGGTACAAAGAGGGACAGGGGCACTCGAAAGCCTGTCCAGGAGGCAAGGTGGCCTTGCCAAATGTTTGCTTCACCTCCTCTGCAGCATTCGGAGGTTTCCCTTCTGATGCGGATGATGCTGGTGGTGGCTGGAGGTGCTGCAGGACCTCGTAGTTAAGTGGGAAATTGAAGTCCATAAGTTGTGTCACTTTTTCGTCCATCTCCAACGAAAGCAGAAGCACCAAGCCCTGAATTTACAGACAGAAGCTGGCATTTCTAATTATGGTGCTCTTCTCCAGAGATGGAGAAAATGGCCAGATTTGGAGAGATGAGGTAGAACATTGCCCTCGTGGGGTTTGCAGCCTTCTCCATTGAGCAGTAATTAGGGTCACATTAACTGTCTGGATAAACTCCACAACTTTAGACACACTGTTTTACTTGCTGCCACTATAAAGAGATGTGGCTGAGTCAGGCTCTGGATGCCAACTGAGAGGGAAAATGAGCTTTTGTGGCCAGTCTTGAGGCCTGGAAGAAAGTGATGCAGCTGTGCCCAGGTCTAGCAGTTAAAAGTTGTCCATTACTGAACTAAGGAAGCAAAACCTGCTCTCTTTTTTCAGGTTAGATATTGGAGATACGATGAGAAGGAAGAAAACGCCAAAAAAATCAGAACTGTTGGTAATCAAACATCCACAAAAGTCACCAATTTGCGCGGCAACGCGCTGTATCACTTGGCAGTCAAGGCGTACAACACTGCCGGCACCGGCCCTGCCAGCGCCACGGTCAATGTCACAACAAGAAAACCACGTGAGTATTTGTGTGGCAAGGAGGGGTCTCGCCTCAGAGGGGCCTACAAGCCCCTTTTTGTCCCTTCTGAGCACTTCCAAGTTTGAAGGAGCTGTAAGGCTTTTCTTTAGCTGAGTTCATTGCACACAAAGTTCACTAGCTTTTTCCATAGGGCTCTTCCCCGTGTTAAGTAAGCAGAGCATGCAAAGCTGAAATCACAGCTGGACAGGAAAATTAAATATTTATCTCAACGTTCAAGAGGGCTTTTTTTCTTCTGTTCTCAGGCATGCTGAGCAAGTGACTGAGGTCTCTTTCATTGAGAGTGCTGTGTTGTGTCGCCCCTCTGCGACCTTGGGGACACAGATCAGTGAAGAGCACGTTAGCTTTGAAGAGCAGTAGGGCTCTGTGTGTGCTCAGCCGTGGTGGCAGCAGCTCCGCCAGTGCTGGGAGGGCTCAGGCAGGGAAATGGAGCTCCCTAGTAATGTCCTGTCTCCTCTGTTTTGGCACAGCACCAAGTCAGCCCCCCGGAAACATCATATGGAATTCGTCTGACTCCAAGATTATACTGAACTGGGATCAAGTGAAAGCCCTGGATAACGAATCGGAGGTGAAGGGCTACAAGGTGAGTGTCCTGGGTGTGGAGGGCGGCTGCTTCATGCCTTGCCACTGTCTTGACTCCAATCCAGCAAGGAATTCTCCTTAGGTTGTAGCTGTCCTTGGGCTCTGCTTCAGCCAACACTCCCATGAATCAGTAGTCCTGCTTGGGGCTTTTAAATAAAACCGGATTAAGTGATTTTTCATGATCACTTCCAGGTTGAAGCGCTAGTAATAGAGAGCAGCCCACAGGGGTTGCCAGCTGAACACCCTTGCCCCGTGGCTCAGCCACGGAGGTGGCAAATCCGTCCTGTCCAGCTCTTCCGTCCTCCTTTCCAGCCGCAGGGGCTGCCGGATGCTCATGACGCACCTGCCTCTTGTTGAAATCTTCCAAACGCTGCGGTGGGCTCAATAATAGCAGATAAATAAAAAGCTTTTTTAATAGCTCCATTTTCTTCAGAAAGTAAAGCGAAAAATAAGGGAAGAGAATCCTCATTAGTAGTAATTTTAGTAGGGGGACCTATCCTTTAGTAGGGTATAATTTACCTAGAGAGAAATCTTGGGAGGAATTGTGCTCTATCACCTTACACAAGGGTTTAGTTTGGCCTGAAGAAGATACTAGTGTGCAACTGCCAGCCCTTGCCTGCAGGGTTCAGTTGTGCCAACATTATCCACCAGAACTTGAAACAATGAAGAACCTGGACAATCTTCGTGTATTGTTCACAGTGTGCAGTTCTGGCTGTGCCACTTCTGTGAGTCTCTGCCAGCTTTCCTGAATCTCTGCACTAACTTGTAATTATCTTCGGTGCACTATATTGGATTGTCAGAAATAAGCAATTCCTCAGGGGTTTCAGTCAAACCCTCAGGTGAATCTCAGCAGTTTGGACCAACTTTTCACTACATATTTCAGGTTTGAAATGCAAATTAAAAAGTGAGTTAAAGGGGGTGAGGGAGACTGTGTTTCTAAAAAAGGAAACTAAGTGTTGGAATAATGCAGCAGCATTTCTTCCCAGGTCACAGCAAAATAATGCCCATTGTCTTTTTATTCCTGGAAACCTTGTATTTTATGTCATAATCTAAATTAGCAGAATTCCCCAATCTTAGAAAAAGACAAAAGATACATTTTAAAAAAAGTAATATTTTCCTGTGAAACCAGTTTGACACTACATCAAATACTCAGCTGGAGGAAATGTAACAGGTAGTTTTGACTAAATCAGCTGTAGGATTTATTTGGGCTCAATTATGAGTAAGGACTAAGGAGATGCTGAATTTAATGTCTCAGGTACCCCAAATAGAGGTGGGATACTTTTGAACCTTTCTAACCTGAGGAAAAGTGAAATTTGGCACTTTGCTTTCAGAGGATGAAAGCTGAGGAGTGTTAATGCTAGAGACGGGAGGAAATACTCTGGATGTAAAGTGTTTGTAGGGGAATCTGTGAATTCAGAGGTTGTAGCCACCTCCTGGTGGGGATGTGATCCATTTGCAACCATTTTCTGGTTGTAAGCAATAGCAGAACCTGCTTATTTTGTTTGCTTTTCTAATTTTCTAACAGAAGTTCTCCCTCCTTCCATTTTTTATCTGTCATGCTCAGAGTTGGGCACCCAGAAATGCCTCGAGAGCTGCTTGGGTGCTGTTCAGGATAACACGTCTTCAAAGCCTGGTGGTCACAGAGTAAATCCTGTGGTGTGTGGGTCAGGATCAGGGCAGCAGGAGCTCGGGAAGCTGCTGTGGAAGTGAACTTGGAAGTGAGTGCGTGGTGCTGCTGTCTCCTGCAGGTCCTGTACAGATGGAACAGGCAGAGCAGCACCTCCGTAATCGAAACCAACAGGACGTCGGTGGAGCTCTCGCTGCCCGTGGACGAGGACTACATCATCGAGATCAAGCCGTTCAGCGACGGCGGCGACGGCAGCAGCAGCGAGCAGATCCGCATTCCAAGGATGTCCAGTAAGAGCAGGGCCGCCCGCGCTCCCCCTTCCTCCCAACATCCACATTGAGCAATGGGGCTAAACCAGGGGATTGGAGCTGCGGGTCTGCCCCTGCCAGTCCCCGTGCAGACCTGCCCAGTAGCAGCAGGTAGATTGCATCCTGAATCAAGGTTACGCCATGAAATGTGCTTTTATTTCTATATATGTTT